CCTGCGTTGCAAGTTCCCCTCCTCCTGCCAGCTTGAGATCGATGCTAACTTTGTATTCTTTTGCTTGGAAAGATCGTAGGAAAGGTGTAATACGGCACGAGGGAATTGTGTTCTGCATGTTACACCGAAACTGAAACGGAACTGGGCCTTGCGAGTTCCGATACTGGATTGTACATAGACGACACCAAAACGCATCATAGTATGCAATTTTGGAACCGGAATTTCTGCAACCCCCATTTTGGTCACTGGAATTTTTATTTTCATAGATACGGGGAGGGTTGAAGGGTGGAATAAGAGTGAATTTTTTTTCCAACATGTTCTGTTTGGTCAAGACCGACCACACTGGAGTGGTCTGGTCTAGCTATGGAAGTTCTGGAAGACAGGTGGCATCTTGTGGTTGGGCGAGCAGGAGAGACGTGGATCCCTAGTTTTGTACCACTCTACTATTGCAAATTAACAAATGTACCCTTCTACTATTTTTGTGCAAAAACATATACTTCTATTATTAAAATGTAACAACTCTACACTTCCGTCTAATATTCTTTTAATCGCTTGTTAAAGAATCTCAAAATTACCCAAATACCCCTCACTTACACTTAATTCGATTTTTTTTTTATCACATCCCATTTATTTGAAACTAAAATTCACCAGGCCCCCTTCAAATTTCAATCGGCAATTTAACTCCACCCTTTCGTCTGCCTCATCCCCCGACTTCGCACAAGGATCGTCAAGATATACTCCGGCGAACCCTTGGCGGCGGCTGCAACCGCTTTTCATTGTCAGTGCTGGAGAAGCGGCGACTTTCTCCAGGCGAGCGGCGACTTTCTCCTTCGATCGAGTGTCCAAAGTCCAAACCAGCAGCAACTGCTTTTCTCCCACTGAGCAGCGCTTCTCCGTGCGTTGGGTCCGCCGAGAAAGAATTCTCCCAATAGTCGAACTTTAGAAGGGCTTCTAATCCCTCCTCCAGAATTATACAGAGGAAGAAGAAACAGAAGGGAGCGTACAGTTAGAATCGGCAAAATAAAATACTGTTCTTATTAGTCATTAGCATTGGATTTTGTAGCTAGGAACTGTTTATGATTTGTGTTTATTATTTTTTTTATTTATAGTTGATTCGTACATTTGATTATACTTGTAGATGGGGATGTAAGTATTCCTGTGGAAAGTTATTCTCTACTATTGGACAGAGGGAGACAGAGACTAAAATGTCTTGGCAATATATCGCCATATCGGTGTCAAATCCTAGATAGGGGCATTTGGGTCAATTTCCTTAATAGAAAATTAGATGGAAGGGTAGAGTTGTTATGGTTTAATAATAAAAGGTTAGGTTGTGTTTGTGAAAAAATAGTAAAATGGTACGTTTGTTAATTGCAATAATAGAGCGGTACAAAATACTATTAACCCTAAGAACTAAGAATTTTCGTTAGTATTTGTATGAGATAGAATGATTAGTTAATTGCTAGGCATATATTATTATAATGTCGTTAGCCAACATTTCTTAGAATGCACAAGAAATATTGTAACGAATATAGTTTTATTGTCTAACGAATATTGTTATAATGTCCAAGGAATCAAGTTATAATGTGCAATGAATATTATCTTAATATGTAAGGAATATTGTTAGTAAACTTAAAGAATGTATTAGTTCAAATATGTTAAGTAAAGAATGTAGTAACTAAAGAATGTGTTACTGGCGCATTAATATTAAATGTTATTACTGAATAGATAATGGAAAAGATCCAAGATGTTACATCGATCTCGGGTTAATAGATTCTTCACTTTTGCATTCCCAAAATATGCAGAGATCGATATACCGTTGTCCGAAATAATCCAGTAATTATCTGTAACTTAACTACATTTTAATTTATCAACATTGACTAATTTTATAGAAAATAATAGACATAACTTCATATTTTATAGGATGAAAAAACAATCACGAAGTTTTCGCTTTGGAATGAGGTATACAAGTCTCATCTCAAGATGATAGAGTTAGATAAAGTGCATGATATAAAAAGGCTGAAGGTTAATCATGGTTTGATCATGACATTGATAGATAGTTGGCGATCGTAGACTCATACTTTTCATATGACAAAAGGAGAGTGTACCATTACTCTAAAAAACATCACAATCATTATTGAAACGAGGACCGATGGAGAGGCAAAAAAGACTATGGATTTGGATCGGGACAAAATCATATTATTATTATTATTATTATTATTATTTTTTTTTGCCATAGATGGAGAGGCTAAACAAATCTCTTCCAAGATCGCTCCACTTGACCCATGCGCCACATTCCGAGATTGAATCCTGCGAACCAAAGGCTGACAGTCTCCACAGAAATTGGCAGAGTTAAACCCATGCAATAAACACCAATTAATTGCATCACGAAAGGCTAAAGCTTCATAAATAAATGGATCAGAAACACCTGAATAATATTGCCCCACCGAACAACACCTGCCCCTCAGGGGTAAAGCCAACAAAATTGTTAGAAATTTTCTAATGAGAACATGTACTCTTTGAAGCATAACATTTTCCAATAACTATATTGGTCATACATTTTAAGATCAGTAGTCATAACACAAACAAATTTAATTAATAAGCTTGTAAAGCAGAATGAAATACCAAATCCATAGAGTATATTTTTCGTAGTTTTCTTGTACACATCATGGAACTTTAAAGTACTTCATAAATGGGAACACATGACCTCTAGAACCAAATTAAGATATCATCAACTACCCATAATATTCATTCTATCATTTGGACTAAGAGAACAAAACTTACATGGTCAGAGACTAATTGTGAAAATCATACGTTATTTATTTTTACTAGTGATTTCATGTTTGTTTAATTTTCCTTTCAATTATTTTCAAATTTTAGTTAGAAAAATGGTTTATTGCTCTAAAAAGCGGAGCAAAAGCACGATATTACGCGGGTTTTTGCGTTTCCACCGTATGTTGATTTTATCTGATTTTATACATTAAAGTTATTATATGGAAACTTAATGCGTTAAGATGATCTAAAAACGTAAAAGTATAAGGTTTAAAACTTTAATTAAATTGCGATTTGACTACAATGATAGCCACCACTACTAGCTAAGCCTAAAATACACCAACATATACGATTTTCATTCTCTTCTAGTGTCCTAGATCTTTTGTTGCCTTCTCCACAACCCAACAGATGATTGATGTTTACCAATAGAGATTAGGGCACTTTCCAGCCAATACAATACACCGACTCTGAACAGTTGACTGCCATGTCTGAAGGCTTCAAATTTTCATTGTACCATTTCTTCTAAACGATTACTTTTTCAATGTTGTCAAAACCGAACAGAGTATCGACCTAAATTTGAAAGAGTTCATGGTTGAATGGTTAACCAGTAGGCTATAAATAAAAAATGGAATCACCTCTCTAGCCGCCATGATCTGGCCTGGCAGTTTCCACGTGTTTTAAATATGATCGAACAGATTGCAGCTTATTATTCTATGGGGTGCATTGAAATAGAATTACACGTCTTTAGAGAGTTAGGGGAGCAAGCAAATTATGCTCTCTGGCCGGCAATGTCCGATCGTCCTTGTCTTCTATGTTACGTGGTACGTACTATATGACAAGATAACGGATCGGAGATAGATATAGTGGTTGTATCGGATGCTCCCATTATTTAAGGCGCAAGGGTCAAGCAGCGACGGACCCAGCAATTTTTTATAGGGGTGTCCTCTTTTAAAAAATTAAATAAATAAAAATAACAATAATTAATAAAAATAAAATCGTAAATATGAAAATACATTACTAGTAGAGGTTAAAAAAGTCCATGATGTGTTTTCATATTCGGAAATAATTGTAGAATACACTTGGTGTCTATAGTGTTAAAAAAAATTGTCTCTATATACCCTACTAGACTATCATTCACGAACTTATCGCATATTCGATTTGTAAACTTGTTCTTGATGTAACCCAAAACTAAAAGACTCTTTCAACACTTGCCGTACAATCATAAAATCAATACAAAACAAGGGTAGTTTGAAATTAGTTTAATTGTTAGGTTCTTAAAATAATTAGAGATAGGGAATGTCATTTTACTATTACACATTGTTCAACATCGAACAACAAATGAGTTGTAGCTCATCGGAAATTATGTTTATTAATAATAATAGTGTTCTAGATTTGAATTATCCAACCTACCACTTATATTCCTATACACAAATGACAATATGATAATCATTTTTCAAATTTAAGGGTGTCCCTCACTATCAATTTTTTTTTTGTCCATACGTAAATTACCACCGGGGATTGGATAATCTTTTTTTCTAAAATTTAGGGGTGTCTCCTGGGTCCGCCCCTGGGGCCAAGAGAGAATGACAATGTGTGAGTCTTCTTAGTTTCAGCATGGAGATTAATTTTTCAACTCTCCATGCAACACCTTTGTAAACATGATTGTGAAACTCTACTTTCACAAATTATTCAGTATAGAAATACCCCAACAATACGGTAGTACTTTAGACAAATCTCGTATTGTCAAAATACCTAAGCGACAAAAAATTCATAAGAAATTGGCCTTGCGAATAAGGGGTTGGTATAGTGGTAATACCATTAAATTTGAATCTGGAAGTCCTAGGTTTGTATCCTTTAAGTAGCACCTAATTAAATATACAATCTACATCATCCTTATTGAAATAATAAATTAAGAAACCAACCTTAACCGAGAAGACGCATTTTTTAGGTGAAGTGGAAGAGTTTTTGTAATAACTCTGCGGTTAAACGTTGTCACTATGAAGCAATGCGATGATGTGTAACCTCTCAGTATCTTGGTCGAAAAAAGGTTGGGATGCATGTTACAATCACTTTGATTGCACAAAATCGTACAACTCGTTTGGACATCGATAATTGGTTATGTGTGAACCGTAGCAGCTCACGTCTTTCTCCGAAGGGCCAACCAACAGGGTGTGCGGGAGGGCCTCCGACACAGGGCCTCCGAGTATTAGGGGGCAGCATAAGATGGTAGGTTTGAATAAAATGGTTTAATAGTATTACCATGATATTATCACATTACATGCCACATGGAACGAGGAAACAAAGAGAATAACATGTAAACATGTTTTTGACGGATCAACATGGAAGAAACTAATAAGTGTAATAAAATGGATAGATAGCAGATAAAGGTGGGATCCCAAGCACATAATTTGCAGAGTACGTTCTATTCAAGTTAAGGGATCATCCTGAACCAGATGGAGCAATCCTGGAGGACGAGTTCCGCCGAAATTGGCTTGTGGCAGCCCGCGCGGATTTTGTTCTTCGCTGTCAAGAGACAGTTCCAGCAGTCGTACTTTCCCAGGTCTTCGTAGCAAACGGCGCCGCCTGTCGGGGATCCAGGGTTGCGATTCGGCATGCTGTGCCTGAAAGAGAAGTCGTTGTTCTCGTCTCTGTATCCATGCCTCGTCCGGTCCACCAACGTATTTACGAGGCGCGCCACGTTGTGGTTGTAGAACTTGCTCTCGGACCTGCCCGTGCAGTCTGGTCCCTTCATGATTGTCATGTCTGGGAATTTGCCGTAAGCAAGGCTCGAAACCATACCCAGAACGACGATGGCAGCTACTGCGAGTTTCGAACTGTAATTCATTTCAGTGATCTTGTTGTTGTTGTTGTTGTTGTTGTTGTTGTTGTTGTTGTTGTGTGTTTTGTGTGAGCAATCGTTGTAACCAGCGGACTTGGTTTTTATAGCTCAGTGTTATTCCTTGACATTGGAGGTACGGTTCTTTTTGTGTATCTATATAGAGTTTGATGTCATTAAAATAGCAGGTCAATGACCCATGCGGTAATATTCGGTCGTTGTCGGATTGCCAATAAAGCATGTGCGTAAAGTCCGAATCCTCATGCGAGGAATTTGTAGCTGCCGGCCGGTGGAAATTTCATTCGGCAACATTTACAAGTGACAAAATTGGAAAACGATACAAGAAAGGATAGTTACTTACTACCAAAAAAAAAAAAAAAAAAAAAAAAAAAAAAAAAAGGATAGTTACCCTTGTTACCTCATACAGGCATGTGGTGTTGGCGTTTGGGCTGCAGCTTCAAGGAATAGTCAATTCTTATCTGGCAGAGCTTCTAGCTTTTGGAGATGCTATCTCCATCGTAGCCTCAAGATTCTTGACCCGCGTGATAGTCGAAGATGATTCCGAAGTGGTCGTCAAACAAGTTCGTCAAGGCGTCATAGAAGACTCGATTGGTGGTCCGGTGTTACGAGAGTGTCATCAGATCCTTAGCTCTTTGTCTGTTTGTATAGAGTTTAGGACGGTACCTAGATCCGCCAACAGTGCTGCCCATAGAGTGGCGCGTAAAGCACTGCTTTTGTCTCGTTTAGAGGTAGAATCTTTTGATTTTTTGGGTGGCTTCTTTAGAGTCTTTTAGGGGTCCTGGGTAGAATTGTAAGTTTAACTATTTTTCTCCATTGATATCCCTCAGAAATAAAAAAAAAACAATTATTATATTATATTAATAAAATTAAATTATTAATAATATAATAATATGATTAAATCACAAGTAATTGCACGGCTCCTTACAAAGAACTCTCATTTAACTTCAACGGTTCATAAGTTAACAATCTTGTGCGATCATGTGTATTTTAATCCCCATTAATTATTTTTTTATAAATGATTTATTTATATTAACAAGGTAAGTTAGCTCGTGAATTACGAGCTATTACAATAGTTTAAAAAGTAGTAGCGACACAATATAAAATACAAGTTAAACCATCTGAAATAATATTACAGTGAAGACATAGAGAAGCTTCAAGTTGAGGTATGAGAGACGGGAAGACAAATGATTAAGGAGGATGAAAAGGGTTTGTTGCACTATCGAGTAAAAATTGATTGAATGCTTGTGCTTCTTGTCAATCTAGAAGAGCCTTAACAAGACTCCAATTTATGCAATTGTTCACAACTGTGGAAACCTAGCTCAATTAGTACGATATTGTGGGAGCAACATAAGGTATCCTTAGACACATATGAATTATGTGATTATGGAGTTGTATAGTGGGAGTAGGTACAACTCAAGAAAAGAATGAATCTACAACCGGATGTGACAACTTGGAGTGAATTGAGAGGGCTCACGAGAGAGAGAGAGAGAGGTTTGTGCCAGGGTACTATCAAAGAGAGCTCTTTGATTCCTTGCAGGGAATTCGATAGGGAGCACGATCTGTTGAAGAGTATTTCCCGAAGCTTGAACTACTCATGATGAGAGCAGATGTGAGGGAGGACAAGGAAGCAAAGATTGCACGCTTCTTACATGGGCTCAATAAAGAGATCAAGTATGAAGTCGATCTTCGTCAGTTTGTGGAGCTGGAGGGCGTGGTTCACCTAGCCACTAAGGTGGAGAAGCAGATGTAGGTAAGCTCGGGAAGAAGGTACCCACCTTTGCCCAAACCAGTTGCAGAGGGCATTCCTGAGGCCAATATGAATCACTCTAGGCTAGAAGGTGATAGGCCAGCGGCTATGAATACATCCTAGTCATCCAAGCCAGGAATGAAGGCTCAACTGGAAGTATCCAATGCTTCAAGTGCTTTAGACGAGGTCACAAGACCAACCAATGCCCCAACAAGAAGGCCATTGTCTGGCGAGATGGAGAATACTTTTCTGAGGAGGAGTAAGAAGAGAAGCCCTTGGGGAATAGATTTGGTTCTGATGCTGATTCTAAAGATGATGACGTGGACGAGCGCATCAAGGCTGAAAATGTCCAACCGGTAAACTTATTGGAGTAAAATGCCAAGCTTTACTATTGAAGCTTACATAAAGATGGAGTAGAGGGATAATATTTTCCACTCTCGCTGCTTGGTCGACGAGAATGTGTTGTCTATGGTCATCAATGGTAGTAGCTGCACCAATGTAGTTAGTATGGATGCAGTCAAGAAGCTGTGATTGAGCACCATCAAGCATCCTCAACCATACTCCTTGCATTGGTTGAACGACTATGGAAATATCAAAGCCAACAAGAAGGCCAATGTTTGTTTTCATATCGGTGATTATGTAGATGAAATTTGGTGTGACGTTATTCCAATGCAAGCTGCTCATCTTTATTTGGGTCGTCCATGGCAATATGATCGGGAGGTTATTCATGATGGAAGTGTCAAATAAGCAAACGTAATCGAAAGAACACGACGATTTAACGTGGTGTCCTTGAGTATCAGGACTAGTCCACGGGAGAGATAGAACTCTCCAAGATAAACTCTTATTCGCGTTAGGGTTTTCTGTGATACAGGTTACATATTTATATGTACATACTCGACTGACTAATTACAAACAGGTACACAAACTTTAAATACTTCAACACCCTCCCTCAAATTGATGTCGGGTATGTAACATCAATTTGGAAGAGAGGAACCAATGCCTGCTTGAAGCCAGTGCTTTAGTCAGTATATCTGCAGTTTGATCTTCAGTCGATAGGAAACCAACATGTATCACACCCTCTGCGATCAACTGCCGAATTTAATGGACCTGCACCTCAATATGTTTCGTCCTGTCATGTAACACCGGGTTAATAGCAATTTGTATCGCACTGGTGTTATCACCAAATATACGCATAGGCCGACGACACTTCAGGCCTAGCTCACCAAGCAATCGATGCAACCACACCATTTCCGAGCTTACTTCAGATATAGATCGATATTCTGCCTCTATAGAAGATTTAGAAACTCGATCATGCTTCTTACATCGCCAAGAAACAAATGAGTTGCCCACACGAACGCACCAACCAGAAGTCGATCTTCTAGTGTTCTTACAGCCAGCATAGTCGGCATCGGCGAATGCTTCAATCACTAGTTCACCTGATGCTAGAAAGAACATTCCCACATCTTGAGTTTGCTTCAAATACCTTAGCAATCTATGAACTGCATCCAAATGCATGGTCCTGGCTACTCCCAAATATTGACTGATGACCTGCACAACATACGAGATATCAGGGCGAGTGTGTGTAAGATAAATCAGACTGCCCACAACACTACGGTATATGGACTGTCTGTCCTCATCCAGCAAATCACCACTCTCGCGAGTCAACTTCAAGTTCTGCTCCATGGGCGTCGAACATGGGATGCTCTTATTGTACCTGACCGTAGTCAACAAGTCATTTATGTACTTCCTCTGTGACACGAATATACCATGCGCTGAACGATTTACCTGCAAACCCAGAAAATACTCAACGTCTCCTAGATCCTTAAGATTAAAGGACCGATGCAACGAGTCCTTCGGCTCTTGTATCCCCTTCACATCACTCCCTGTGATCACCATGTCATCAACATATATAAGCAAGACTATAATCCCATCAATCGTACTGCGAATGAACAGGGAGGGATCATTCTGACTCTGTACGAACCCTCCATGAGCTACTGTGCCATGGAATTTATCGAACCAAGCCCGCGGTGCCTGTTTAAGACCATACAATGACCGTACCAGCTTGCAAACCATACTTGAATCACCTTTAGTGTACCCCGGTGGACGTTCCATATAGATAGTTTCCTTCAAGTCACCATGAAGGAGGGCGTTCTTGACATCCAGCTGAAATAACGGCCATCCACGCATAGCTGCCACAGCAAACACACAACGAACGCTTTGCATCTTGACAACGGGAGCAAAAGTCTCCTCGTAGTCAATCCCATAAACCTGACGGAAACCCTGGGCAATAACACGAGCCTTAAACCGCTCGAGCAAACCATCAGATAACTGTTTCACATTATAAACCCAACGGCTACCAATCACCGTCATACCTGGCTGTCAAGGAACAAGATCCCAGGTATGATTAGCATCAAGTGCCGCAGTTTCCTCCGCCATAGCTCCTTCCCATCTCGGATCACCCTTCACTTCAGCATAACAAGTAGGAATGATGATGGGCATGGCCGAGAAACCAACATAGTCCTGCATTCGTATAGGCGGTTGCCCCAAATTCGCACAGTGGGAACGACGAAGGGGAACCAAAGGTTGCTCGGCGGGCGGTGACACTTGGAGCCCACTAGTGTGCGATGAGGATGAAGACTCACCACTTGATGACGAAGAGTGCGAGCTACTGGAAACAAATGGGGAAGTCATGCTTGGGCTGCTCGTGAACGAAGGGCTGCTCATGTACAGAGATTTCATGCCAGACGATGAAGAGCTTGAAGTGGAATTTGTATGCTGGGACGTGCTGTTGGACGTGGTTGCATGCGTGCCAAGAGGTGGAGTGGATTCGAACGAAGGTAAAGGCAGCAGAAAATCCAAAGACTCCTCAAGTAATGCATCCCGGTTCGTTGAATAATACATTACCTGCTCTAGAAAAACAACATGACACGCAATCCGCATCCGACGATCCACCGGATCATAGCATAGATAACCCTTGTGCTTAGTACTGTACCCAAAGAACACACACCGAGCAGTCTTTGGCGCCAACTTATGACGTTCTTTGCGAGGGAGTAACACGAAGCACACACATCCAAAAACCCGTAAAGCAGAATAATCAGGCATCTTTCTGATAATCGGCTTTAACATATTGAATTCTTGGACTTTATGTGAAAATCCCATGGTATGTTTTAGCCAATTGGTGCTATTTTAGGGCTCGCTAACCCGAGAATGGTTGAAAAACCATTACTGCCTAGTGCCATGAGTTTAATATGTTACAGGTGGAGAAAGCACGAAAAAGAAGCGAGTGCACTAGCAATTAATTGGGCTCAAATCGCTTTATTTCGGGGAGGAGACGCAATTGGGCCAGGAAGAGAAATTAAGTGGACATGGTCCATCTAATTGGACCGGCCATCATTACTTGGACATATTTGGGCCAGGGGAGCTAATGTGTGGACGGGAGAGGGATGTATTTTTGTGGAGCGGAACTAATTTGGGTGAAGCTTGGAATACAGAGGAGAAGGATGCAGGGAATTATTCTAGGAGCTGGGACACGAAATTTGGGGAGCAAGGAAATTATTGGAGGGACGAAAGGAAATTCGGACGGAGGAATTAAAAGAAAAGAGGGGAACGATCTCTTTCGGCGGGGGACAGCGGCGAGCAGCAGGAGCGGATTTGCAGTTTGCGATCGTCCTCTTCAAGGCAGCTTGAGCGGAGTATAACGAGAGCGATTATTTGGTTGGATTTTCTGAATCAAATTAGTTGTTTATTGTTGATTTAGAATATGATGATCAAAACTTTATCGATTTATCTCAATTTCATCATGAACTAAACTCCAATTTCTGGGGGAAACACCATAGATGTAGCTATTTCTGGATTTGATGGATTAATTCGTATTTCTTTTCTTCCAATCTCTATTACATGAAATTGCTTAATGCTTTGTGTTGACTGGCCACCAATACATTGATTTGTAGTTAATTAGGTTATTAGCGACAGTGAAACCCTAATGACTGAACATATTTCATGTGACATAGTAACTTATCGAAGCGACAGTGGATTAAATAAGGTACTATGCGGTCTTGATTGGGATATCGTTCTTCAGGCTAAATAATTAACTCATTGAGCTACGACAGTAGGATTTGATTTAATTGTTTAGTACGTAGTAATTCCCGACAGGGATAGCTAGCACAGTAGTAATATCCTGGCTGTAGAGATATGGATTAAATTGATTGGAATATGTGAATTAATCTGGATAGGATAGGTAGTGAATCCCGGTGTTTCTCCCAGAGCTTTCTCCCATTGAATTTCTCCCGACAAGTTTACTTTGCTTAATTAGTTTAATTATTTTGCTATTAGTTAATAATCTCATCAACCAAACCATTTTTCACCTATAGTTTGCTCCATAGAATCGGTAAATCATAAGGTTGTACCAGTCCCTGAGAGACGATACCCGGACTTTCCGGTTTACTACGAGATAGGATTAAGGCATACGTTTTTGCCCTATCAAGTTTTTGGCGCCGTTGCCGGGGACTGCCATACCTTATTTTTGTTGATTTTTTTGTGAATGAACTATTTTGATCTGGGTGTTAGTGTGCAGAAGAATTTTCAAGTTTATCTTCCTCGTGCATGCCAAGGAGGACGACCAGCAATTTACTGCCACTTGATCCAGAGATAGAGAGGACCTGCCGACAGAACAGGAAGCATGTCAAGTTAGGGAAGCAGCCAACCACAACTACTAGGCCTTCCCTAACCCAGAGAGGGCAGGCTTCATCATCTGTCATCCCTACACCACCGACACCACCTCGTGACATTGAGCCTGTCATCATGGCAGACGAGGATCATTCGATTAGGGCTCGTTTGAATCGAAGGACTGGAGCCCGAGCTTCATGTGTTGTCATTCCGGCTGGGGATGCAACCATGGAGATTACCCCAGCATTTATCAACATGATCACCAATGGATATACTTTCTCCGGGCTAGCAATGAGGATTCTCACGAACATCTCCGCCGGTTCGCGAGCATATGTGATACGATGAAGAGCCCAACTGTGTCTGATGATGCAATCCGTCTTTGGATGTTCTCATTCTCTCTGATAGGGAATGCATCACACTGGTTTCAGAACTTAACACCACGTTCCATCACGACATGGGCTCAGATTGAAAAAGTCTTCCTGGATAAATACTTCCCACCTGCCTTGGCAATGAAGAGGCAAGAAGAGATTGTTACTTTTAAGCAGGCTGATGATGAGAGTCTGACTGAGGCATGGGAGCGCTATAAGAGGCTATTGATGAGATGCCCAAGCCATGGTCTTGAAGATTGGAACGTGATCATTATTTTCTTCAATGGAATCAGAAGGGAGTTTCGGGATGCCCTGAATAATGCTTCTAGAAATGGTTTCACAAGCATGGAGGCACCAGCAGCATATGATCTAGTAGAGAAGATCTGTTCAGAAGCCACTGAATGGGGTAGTGAGACCAGTATTCGAAGAAGAGGAGGCTTGCATGAGATAAACAGAGTTGCGAGTCTAGAAGACAAGATAGATGCTAAGCTGGATTCTAAGTTCGATGCACTCGAACGAAGGCTGGCTAAGATGGCTCTTGGTAGACAAGAGGAGGTTGCTTTTTGTGAATTATGTGAAGGTGCTCATCATAGGGATCTATGTCCACTGGTAGCTGATCAGTTGGAAGATGTGCACTATATCAATAATCCGCGAAGTCAAGGCCAGGGTGGTATGTATTCAAATACATACAACCCTCAATGGAGACATCACCCTAATATGTCATGGTCAAACAATAATCCAGATGGTGTTCGAAACATCCCACCTCCTGGTTTTCAACAGCAGCAACCTCAACCAGAGAAGAAACCCCAACTGGAAGAGTTGATTTTGGCTCATATGCAGAAAACATACAATAATTTCAAGGGTCTTGATCAATTTGTCACTCAACAGCTAGCCATCAACAATAATATGCAATCATCTATGCTAGCTACGGAGAGGCAAATAGGCCAGATGGCTCAAACTTTGGCAGATATTCAAGGTAGAATTCCCAGGACTTTACCAGCAAATACCGAGAGGAATCCGAAGGATGCCATGGTTGTAGCTGTCATATTGAAGAGTGGAAAGGCCTTGGAGGATCCAGAGAGTTCAAGGAAGTCAACAAAATCTGAAAAAGAAGGAGTTGCAGAGGTAGAAGATGAAGAAAGTGCAAAAGCTGAAAAATCTGACTTGCACAGGCAAACTGCATGCAATCTGCCTGTGCATGAGCATTCTGCCCGTGCAACTCCAAAGGTGAAAAAATTCAAGAATGAAGAGGTAAAGCCTTATGAACCTCCCGCACCATTCCCTCAAAGTTTAATGAAGCCCATGAAAGACCCAAACTTCAAGAAATTTGTGAATCTCTTCAAGCAACTTCAGATTAACATACCCTTGGCGGATGCACTTGAACAGATGCCTACATATGCTAAATTTTTAAAGGAGTTGCTGACTAAGAAGCGCAAATGGGCTGATCTGGAGAAGGTAACCCTTACTTCTGAATGTAGTGCTATGATTCAGAATAAATTACCAGAAAAGAGGGATGATCCGGGCAGTTTCACCATTCCATGTATCATTGGAGGTACAGAGTTCAATAAATCACTTTGTGATCTTGGAGCAGGAATTAATTTGATGCCATACTCAGTCTACAAGAGTTTGGGATTGGGAGATGTTCTTAAGCCTACTCGGATCACTCTCCAATTGGCTGATCGATCAGTGAAAATTCCAAAAGGAGTGGTGGAGAATGTATTGGTGAAGGTGGGGAAGTTTATTCTCCCTACAGATTTTGTGATTGTGGAGATGGAAAAAGATCGGGGAGTGCCTCTCATTCTTGGGAGACCTTTTCTAGCAACTGGAGATGCACTCATCGATGTTGGGAGAGACAAACTGACATTCCGAGTAGGTAAGGAGGAGAAAAATTTTAATGTCTTTCAAGTTGATCATAATTACGATGCATTTGATGACCTTGAAAGTGGATCTCGAGGAAGGAAAAATTCCTCTTCCTGTGATAGTGGATCAGCTGAAGTATCACATGTCCTAGCAAGGGCAGAAATCCTTGCCAGGTCACCTCAAGTATAGATATTTGGGTAAGGATTTCAATCTTCCTGTTATTATTCCTTCTTCACTGACATTGAAATAGGAAGAGTACTTGCTTGAGGCACTGCAATACCACCTACGCCTCACTAAAGGGTCCAACATGCAAGCTAAGAAGGTCATACCCAATTTTCGCACACCTGGCCCTGATGAGGTGACTCATATGTTGGATGGAGGTTATGCGTTCTATCATTGCTCGGGAGGGTATGCTGGATACCTTTCCATACCCATTGGTTGAAAGCTCCATGAACGTCAGGCTGAGGACGTTAAACAAGCGCTTCTTGGGAGGTAACCCAAGGTAAGTTTTCTTTTCTTTATTTTTCTTTTTAGTTGTGTCAAACCCGTGCATGTTTAGATTAGGAGTTGAACATTAGGGACAATGTTCCATCCTGAGTGTGGGGTGGCGAGTCTTAGTATTTGTTTGTTCCTTTTGTCATGTGGTCGGTAAAAAAAAATCCAAAAAAAAAAAAAAAATTGCCATTAGGTTGAGCACAACCAAACTGCATGCAGTTTGCCTGTGTAAAAAGCAGGCTGCCTGTGCAAAGCTAATGGCTAAAAAACACCTAAAAATCAGAAAAATTAAAAACAAAACCTTGTACTCTTGTGGTAACATGATGTAAATGACCGTGATGCATGTGAAATGAGTTTGTGCTTGAATGAAATTATCGAAATCACCCCACTAGTGTTGAATTGCATAGTTCTACACAATGAGCTTGAATGTTTTGACTGACTTGATATGCTTTGAATGAGCAAACTCTTTTAACAACATTCTCTTTTGTGAAGATAGTGTAATGACTTT